AATGCAGGCACTTAGAGTTATGGACTTCCCTCTAAGGACAACTTTCAGCATGTCCCAGAGGTTTTGTTGTGCTGTATTGCCCTTTTCATTTAATTTCTCTTTTGACCCATTCATCATTCAGGAGTGTGTTATTAAATCTCCATGTGTTCATGTGGTGATTAGGGCTTCTTCTGGTGTTGATTTTAAGATTTGTTGCATTGTGGTCTGGTAGAATGCATGGAATTATCTCAATATTTCTTCAGCTCTTTGTACTGCTTCCAGAACTCTGAAGGGCTGGTTTTGTGGACATGAATTCCTTCAGCTTATTTATGTTACGGAAGAATTTCCTTTTCCCTTTGACTATAATAGACATTTTGGCTGGGTATAGTAATCTGGGTTGGCATCTGTGGTCATTTAAAACTGGGAATACTTTGGTTCAGGCTCTTCTGGCTTTTATAGTTTACACTGAAAAGTCAGCTGTAATCCTAATGGGTTTTCCTTTAAATGTGACTTGTTTCTCTTTTGCAGCTTTCAGTGTTGTCTCTTTGTTCTGTACATTTAGTAGTTTTACTATGATGTGCTATGGAGAGTTTCTTTTCTGGCCCTATCTGTTTGGTGTTCTATATGCTTCTTATATTTGTATGGGCATGTCTCTCTTTAATTTTGGGAAATTTTCTTCTATGATTCTGTTGAAGATCTCGTCCATGCCATTATCTTGGGATTCTTCTTCCTGTATGCCTATGATTCATAAGTTTGGTCTTTTTATGGTGTCATTTCCTGCATATTCCATTCCTGTGCCTTCTTACATTTTTCATAATCTTTGCTTGAGTGGTCTAGTTCGTCCACTTTATCTTCCAGTCTTAATACTCTGTTTTCCATTTCATTTATCCTATTGGTGAGGCTTTCTCCTGTTGTTTCTAATTGGCTTATGGAGTGTTTCACTTCGTTCTTTATTTCAGCCTGAGTACTCTTCAATATTTCTAGCTCTTTTCTGAATTCATTCAGAAGATTATCCCTATCTTCCTTCAGTTCTTTCATTTCTTTGTTCTTTAAACTTGCTGAAATCTTTTATCATGTTTATAGTTGTTCTTTTGACTTTCATGTCCTGCATTATCTCTAGGGGTTTCTCATTGTACTCCTCTAGAGGACTATTGGTATTTGTTGGGGATATATTATTTTGGTTTTTCATGTTAATAGTTTTTCTTTGTGATTTTGACATGTGAATTTCTTTTGTAGTTTCTGATTATTGTGTGAGACTCAAGCCTTCAAGTTTTGGTCTGCTTCTTTTCATAAACTTTATGTGCCTTTGTGGTTTAGTTTTTGGGCATGAAAAGCTGGTTCCTCTAAGCTTCTAGTTCTCTCTTTTGATTTTTATATTGGCGTGGGCAGATTGCTTTTGTGTTTAGGAGTTCCCCAGAGGCCCGAGTCAGATGAGGATCAGATGCTCTCAGCCTTTTTCCTAAGGTTTGGATCCCTCCAGGAAAGATATCCTCAGGAATTTGGGGGTTGGACTGGCCTGGGAGCAGGGCCCAGGAAAGATGCTGGTCTTGAGCAGCTGGTGGCTGTGCCACCCAGAATGCAAAGGGAGATGGGGGTGGGAAGAGACTGCCAGGAGGAACTAGGTTGGTCTGGATGCAAAGGATCAGGAAGAGGAGAGGTGAGCTCCCTTGTCCAGGAAAGAAGGTGGCAGGTTGTGCAACCCAGGGAAGTAGAGGGAGGTGAGCTTTTTTTTTTTCTCCTTTTGTAAAAATATTTATTATTTATTATTTTATGTGTATGCATGTATTGCCTCCTTGTAGGTAAGTGCACCTGTGTTGCGCAGCATCCAAGTAGAACAAAAGAGGCCCTCAGATCCCCTGGAACTAGAGTTACAGATAGTTTTTTGCTGCCATGTCGGTGCTGGGATGCGAACCCAGGTCTTTTGCAAGAACAACTGTGTTCTTTTCCGCTGTGCCCTCTCCCCAGGGCCCCCCCCCCCCCGCCCCACTTTTCTTTGTCTTTTTGAGACAGCGTCTTCCTGTAGCCCCAGCTGACTTGGAACTCCCTATGTAGACCAAGCTTGGCCTTGAACACACAGAGATCTGCCCGTTTCTACCTCCAACGTGCTGAGATTAAAGGCATGGGCGACGATGCCTGGCTCCACTTTATTTGCTTTTAAAGAAATATTATTACAGAGCCAGGTGTGGTGGCGCATGCCTTTAATTTCAGCACTTGGGAGGTAGAGGAAGATGGATCTCTGTGTGTTCCTGGCCAGCTGAGGCTATATTACTACATTTTGGTAGTATGCACACATATATGTTGTACATATGCCCAAGTCAGAGGGCAACTGTTGGGAGTTTGTTCTTTCGACAGTGTAGGTCCTGGCTATCAAACTCAGTTTGTCAGCCTTAGTAACAGGCACTTTTACTCTGTGAGTGTCCTAGTTTGTTCTTCATTGCTGGGCCAAAACACTCTGACCATTACCAACTTGGGGAGGAAAGGGTTTATTTATCTTTCATCTCCCGGGTCACAGTTCATCAGAGAGCCCAAACTAGGAACCCAGGGCAGGAACCTGGAGGCAGGAGCTGGAGCACAGGCCATGGAGGAACACTGCTTACTGGCTTGCTCCCTCGGCCCCTGCTCAGCCCGCTTTCTTATGCAACACAGGCCCACCTGCCCCTACCACATCACTCATCAAGAAGATGCCCTTTAGACATGGCCACAGGCCAGTCCAATAGAGGCAGTTCCTCGATTGAGGCTCCCTCAACCCAGGTGTGTCATGTTGACACTAAAGGTATCCCGCACAGTGAGCCATCTTGCCAGCCCCTTTTTCCCGTTTTCTGTATTTCCTATCATATTATAGTTGGATCTATAGGTTCGATTTAATCAAGATGTGAGTTTCTCTTTTGACAGGAATGTTTTGTAGACAAAAGTATACAGTACACATCCTGTTGCATCATGTCAGCAAGCACATATTAGATTGTCCGTTTGTAGAGGTACTAACCTTGGTCATTCATTGGGGGATTAGATTTTGTCAGCCTGATAGGTTTACAAAACTTTTCACATGGGGCTGGAAAGATAACTCAGCAATTAAGAACACTGGCTATTCTTGCAGAGGACCCAGGTTTGGTTCCCAGCACCCACATGGTATCTAACAACCATCTGTAACTCTTAATTACAAGAGAATTCAGCACACTGTTCTGACCTTTGTGGGCATTGCATGACATGGGTACACTTACATACAGAAAGGCAGTATACTTAAAAACACATAAAATAAAAATAAAAAGCTCTTCACCAGGGATAGAGAGGTGACTCTGGTAGATGAACCAGGTTTGGTTCTTAGCACCCATATGGTGGGCAACAATCATCCTTAACTCCAGTTCTTGGGATCTGACACCCTCTTCTGGCCTCCCATGTGCACCCACATGCAAGCACAAACATTCATATACACAAAAAATAAAACAATTTCTTTTAAAGGCCTTTTATACCTAATGGTTTAGTATTGGGGTAGATTCCCGAAGTAACAGAAATTGGTTCCCATTTGTTTCTTTCTCAGGAATCCATACTTGTTTTGTATGTAAGCAGAGTGGGGAAGATGTCAAAAGGTGCCTTCTTCCCTTGTGTGGAAAGTTTTACCATCAAGAGTGTGTCCAGAAGTACCCACCAACTGTCATGCAGAACAAAGGCTTCCGATGCTCCCTCCACATGTGTATAACCTGCCATGCTGCTAATCCAGCCAATGTCTCTGCTTCTAAAGGTACGGATTTTTTATGTGGACCAGTCTTATTGTAAGACTTCAGTTTCATTGGTAGTTATTTTCATATGTAATCTGTAATATATTCATAGGCTCTTTTTTGTCAATTAGGCAATTTAAGATTGCAGAAGAATAGAATAATGGAGTAGGTCCTCTGTTACCACTTTGTCTTTTGTTCAACCCTGACTAGTAGTTTTAAATATTTGAATTTTATGTGAGATTTAGCTTTTAAAAAGTTTTCTATTCAGTGTCTTTAAAAACCCATTTTACTTAATATATAAAATGCATTTAGATAGCTTGATTTTTTTTTTTTTTTTTTTTTTAGTCTTTTTGAGACAGTGTCTCCCTGTATCCCCAGCTGTCCTGGAACTCACTATGTAGACCAGGCTGGCCTTGAACTCGCAGAGATCCACCTGCCTCTGCCTCTGGAGTGCTGGGATTAAAGGCGTACGCCACCACGGCGGCTTGATAATGTTTTTAGTTGGTTAAGAATATTAGGAGATAGATTTCATTTGGAAGAGTAAGATTCACAGAGTACTAGGTAAACATTAGCATCCTATTCCTCCTTTACTATGGTCTGAGGCTTATTTTAGGTTTTGTAGGCTTTAGAACAGTTACTTCCTTAGTGAGGCAGGCCTTTTTTTTTTTTTTTTTTTGGTCTTTTTGATACAGGGTCTCCCTGTAGCCCCAGCTGGCCTGGAACTCTCTATGTAGACCGGGTTGGCTTGGAACTCACAGAGATCTGGAGGCAGGCGTATTTATAGTTATAGGGTCTGAGAGTTAACATATAGCTCCCCTCTGACCTTTTTGTGATAGATTGCATATTTAAAATATTTCATTTGTTAATTTTATTTTACGTATATAAGAGTTTGGCCTGCATGTATGCAAGTGTACCCATGCCATGCAGTGCCCACCAAGGCCAGGAAGAGAACATTGAATTCCCTGGTATTCGAGTGTTCTGCCATGTGGGTACTGGGAATTGAACCCAGGTCCTCTGGAAGAACAGCAGGTGTTCTTAGCCACTGAACCATCTTTAACCCCTGGATTACATATTTAAGACCCTTTTTTTAAAAAAAATACTTTATTTTTGGACGGGTGTGGTGGCACACACCTTTAATCCTAGGCAGAGGTAGGTGGATCTCTGTGAGTTCAAGGCCAGCCTGGTCTACGTAATGAGTTCCAGGACAGCTGGGGCTACAGGGCGACCCTGTCTCAAAAAGTCCCCCCCCCAAAAAAAACTTTATTTTTATTTTATGTGTATGAGTGTATTGCCTACATGTTTGTGTAAGTGCACCTATGTAGTACAGTGCCCATGGCAGTCAGAAGAGGGCATTAGATCCCCAGAACTAGAGTAACAGATGATTGTTGTTTCCGTGTGGGTGCTGGGAAGTGAACCCAGGTCTTCTGCAAGAGCAGCCAGTTGTTCTCAATCACTGAGCCATCTTTCCAGCTCCTTAAGATCCTTTGTTAAGGTAGTCCTTTTACTTCTGATGTGTTCTCTATGCCAGCAAATAGACTTGAATGACTCAAATTATTTCTATATGTAATCTCCCATTTCTTTTGCTCCTCCCCCTTTTCTCTGCTTTCAATAAATGCAGGTCGTCTGATGCGCTGTGTCCGCTGTCCTGTGGCATACCATGCCAATGACTTTTGTCTTGCTGCTGGATCAAAAATCCTTGCCTCTAATAGTATCATCTGCCCTAATCACTTTACCCCTAGGCGGGGCTGTCGAAATCATGAGCATGTTAATGTCAGCTGGTGTTTTGTGTGCTCAGAAGGTAAGATGTGATGTTTCATTGTGTGGATACTTTCAAAGGGATGAATAAAGGTGGGTTTTTTTTTTTTTTTTCCACATTGCCATTGGAGGAATATTAGAAAGTAATGTCTTGGCTACTCATGGTGGCCCACACCTTTAATCCCAGTCAGTGCTCAGGAGGCAGAGAAAGAGTTCAAGGCCAACGTGGTCTACGTAGTGAATTCCAGGTTAGCTGGGGTTACAGCAGACCCTGTCTCAAAAAGACTAAAAAAGAAAATGTGATGTCTTGAGTTAATGATAGAATAGCAGAATCTTTGAAGCTCAGTTTGAGCCATTCATGGGGGTACATATCTGTAACCCCAACACTTGGGAGCCTGAGGCAAGATTTATATGTTCAAGAACAGTAATCTATTTTATTGCTCAATATGGGTAAGTTTTGCTTATAGTTTGAATAATACCTTGATTTTTGTTAAAATTTATTTTATAACTCAGGAGCTGGGGAAATGACTCGGTAGTTAAGGGACCTGCCATGTAAGCCTAAGGACCAGTTTGGAGCTCCAGAACTCACGTAAATACCAGTGAGCATGATGGCTTTCCTGTAATTCTAGCCCCTGAAACCAGAGCTAGGATCTCTAGAGTAGTAAGCTGGCAAGTCAGTCTAGCAACATTTAGGAGCTCTGTGTTTGATTGAGAGACCCTGCTTTATTAATAAGGTAGAATAGTGATCCCTTATGATTCCCAACATCAGTCTTGGGCCTTCACATGCATGTGAACTCACATATGCACATGCACTTATGTACGTATGTGCCCACAGATATGCATACACACAGATACATGCAACACACATACATATGCAAAAGCAAAACAAAATTATAACTAATGCAATAACGGGATGGCAGGGACCTAAATTCTACCACCTTCAGATAAAGCCGTATGTATCAGTATTGGATGATACTCCTCTGGAAATCTATACATATCCACAAATGGAAGGGTAAATGTCTGTATAGAAAGAATTCTAGCTGATGGTATCATCACTCCCTCCTGCCTTTATTTTTTTAGACTATCTCATGTAGACCAGGCTGGCCTCAATCACTATATGGCAGAGACTGACCTTGACATCCTCGTTCTCAGCTTCTATAATACCTGTAAGGGCCACCTCATCTGACTTCATGACATATTTTTGTGACTGTTATTTGAGGTGAGGGCCTCACTATGTGACCCAGATTTGTTTAAAACAGTGGGCTCAAATAAACCTCTTACCTCAGTGGGCTCAGTCTCTGAGGACTGTATTCAGGTGCCACCTTATCCAGCTTAACATAATGTTTTAAATAGCAGTTTGAAAATAGTGAAAGTAAAAGATATGTATAATTCTTCACTAAAATATATATTAGTCCTCAAATAACTGTCCAGTGAGGGCTGGAGAGGTAGCTCAGTGGTTAACAGCACTTGCTGTGCAATTACAAAAACCTGAGTTTGGGTCCCCACACCCTTATAATAAGTTTGGCATCCTCCTGCCTGCACATGTAGTCCCAGCATTTTGGACAAATGAGGGTTGCTAATAAAATACGCAAAAAAAATTTTAAGGAAGATTTTGTAAACTGAAGGAAAATTTGATTGCATATTTTTTTCCATCCTCTGTGTGTGTTTATGTGTGTATGCATGCATAAGTGTGTGTCTTATATGATGTGCTGGTGTGCTTGCCTATGTGGGCACATGGTGGGGTCAGGGGTCATCATGCTTGGCCCATATCTCTTGCCCTGAGATAGGGTCTCCCAGTGAATCTGGAGCCCCAGACCCTTGCTGGTTTGGTTGGGCTGGTATGCCTGTAAGCCCTCGGATCTGCCTGTATCAGTTCCCCAGTGCTGAGGTTATGGGTCCATGCACCAAGTCTTTTTCATGGTGCTAGGGATCCTAACTCAGGTCCTCATGCTTATGCAACTAGCCTTTTACCCATTGAGACATACATCTCCAGTCTGTCATGTATCCTTTTTAATTAATAATATATAGGACTGAGGGATATAGTTCAGTTGGTATGTTTGCCTAGCATGCACAAAGCCCTTGAATCTCCTGTGGTGGCACAAATCTGTAATCCCAGCACCACCGTGCCTAGCATTAAGTTTCTGGTTTTTGTTTTGTTTTGTTTTTAATAATTTATTGAGAATTTCATACGTGCATATAAGGTGTTTTGATCAAATCCCTGCCCACTCCCTCCCCTCTAACTCCTCCCATATTGCCCCATCACTTTTTTCTGATAACTTCATGTACATTCCCCCCTCTGAAGAGGTAATCCTAAAATCTTTTAAGGATTAGATACAA